AATAACAAACAAAGTTATTCTACATTATATTAAATAATTGAAGAACAAAAAGTATTATTTATACTGTGTAATCAATAACCTTCCTTAAGAGGAAGGCCGAATATAAAATCTTTATCTTGAGAATTTTCTCTCTCACATTAGAGTTGCTCTAGGGAAAAATATAGTGAAAGTAATAGTAATTAGTGTAATATATTATTTTTTCTACCTTGTAAAGATTCGAATCAATTCTTCATACATCCCTTTATCGATGCGCTCTTGAGCTTTAAAAAACTACAAATACATCGTGAAATGTCATATCAACAAAGAAATACATTCAAAACATGTGATTTATTTGATTATAATCTGGTGTACTGAACCATAAATAAATGTATACCTGAAGAATGGAAATATTTTGTTTTAGTTCAGATTTGGTAGAACAACAACCCTGACTTATTTTTGAATTACGTGGATTTCTGATAAAAAAAGGAAAACAATGAGTTTAGTGAATATACATGGTTTTACTTACACAAACCAATAATAAAAGTAAAATTCATGCATTCAAAAATATTCTCTGGACCTAAATATTATTAAATGAATAAAATAAAAACATGTTCATCCTTTGAGATATTATTTCTTTTTTCACCATTTTCCAAAGTTGCGTTTTATCTGTTATCACTGTGGAGCCCCAACCGACAGAGTAAACGTTTAGACGCTTGACCTGTTTTTATAAGGATGATAAAAGTGTTGGTCAAAGAGTGGTGAAAATGCAACAAACATATTTTTTTATACATGTTGCGAAAAAGGTAAATGCACCTTATTGTCTAGCTTGCCGATAGATGAAATTGTTTGTTCATCCTTCCATGTGTTCCATTTATCTTTAAAGTCCTCATCTAACATTTATTCTGTATAAGAATAGTGAGAATAAGTATGATCCAATTGATTGATTATAATTAAAAGTATAAAATAAAGGATTAAGTCTAGCTTACCTTTATGTCGAAGCAAGTTTCAACATTCTTCCGTCTCAGCTCCTTACATAATTGGAAGACTTCATTGTGTTCTAGTTTGACTTTATATCAAAGCCACACAATTTTATACTTACTTATATTTAGTTTTATCATATAAAGAATACAATATAATATTGGTATTTCGTGTACAAATGGGAATCAATGTGTGAGATTATTTGTTTAATGTACGTAATGATACTTGCGGGTGCGATAAAAGAATTTGTTTAAATACTACATTTTTTGTGTAGTCACCATCTTCTCCTTCCAATTTTCCTTCCTTGGATAAAAATTTTGTTGTAGTCTGTGAAACACCTCTAGATAAAGCCACATATAACTGTCCATGACTGAAAACATGTCGTGGAAGATATATTCCAACATTTGGGATGGTTTGTCCTTGTGACTTATTTATTGTAATTGCAAAACTTAGTCGCATAGGAAACTGCTTTCTTCTAAGGACAAAGAGCAACCCATCACTGGCCGATGTTTTTATTTTAATTCTGGGCAAGAAAGCTCGTCTTCCTGCGTTGTTTCCTGTCAAGATTTCCACATCCAACATATTCATATATAACCCACGACATAATAACCGCGTCCCGTTACACAGCCCATATCTAGGATCTAGATTTCGCAACAACATTAATGGTGCACCCTTTTTTATCTTTAGAATATGCAGGGGCAAACTACCTTGTGCAATTGAGTTTAAGAATTCTTGCTGGTATAAATTATTATTATCCCCTTCAACCTCGTCAAATGACAACAAATTATGTTCTTCTCCTGGAAACTGGTCAATAATTATATCATTCAATTTTTGGACATCATCGTTTGTTGGGGTCAAAATAGCTCTTTGTACCATATAAAGGGCATCCCAACCATGCAATTCTAAATCAGGAAAAATATGTTGTATAAGCACTTGTATGGAATGTTCACCTTCCCATGGGACTGCAATCTGTGAAGGCAACCTCACCATGTTATCTAGTTTGGTAGGTTCAACACCATCACCAATGCGCATAAGAAATTCTGCAAACTCTTGATCATGCAATGATCGCATATTTTGACGCAATCGCAAAATTTTGGTATGATCCCATAAATGAGACTGAACAATACATGCAGAAATCATTTGTGCCTTAGTACCTTTTCTTACAACAGGAAGAACTTGTCGGAAATCTCCCCCCATGATCATAACTTTTCCTTCAAATGGAGCATTGTTGCTACAAATGTCTTGTAATGATCGATCTAAGGCTTCCAAACAATTTTTGTTTATCATTGGGGCTTCATCCCAAATTATTGCAGCAGAAACCCTAATGAGATTTGCAAGATCGTTTTGCTTTTGAATACCACAAATAGAACTCGAGTGTATATCGATAGGTATCTTAAATCGAGAGTGTGCAGTTCTACCACCGGGTAGCAACGTTGCAGCTATACCAGATGATGCAGTTGCCAAAATAATTTCTCCTCTACTTCTTAAACTTGCCATTAATGCTCTATAAAGGAATGTTTTACCTGTTCCTCCTGGACCATCAACAAAAAATACCCCACTGTGTTTTTGATCAATTACATTCATAATGGTTTTGAATGCAATCACTTGGTCATTATTTAACTTCGCAACAGATTCAATATCTTCACTGGGGATATCGACAGCTAACTCCTCCTGTATGACACTTGGAATCGAATTTCCTTGTACTGTATCAAGGGGTAAAGATGGGAGATCATAATCTTCAATCTTTTTACCGTGCAGGTTTAAAAGTTCATTCAAGTCCTTCAACAACATATTAGTCAAGACCGATTCCACAACATTGTTAGTTGTTCGATAATCCTCTGTCATATGTGTACAAAACTCATTCCAAAGGCTTCTAACATCAGTAGGTTCACAAAATATGAGAACCGTCACGAATAACCTCCTTAAAGCATATGGCATTCGGAGACTCGCCGCTTCAACCAAACAATCATGAATATTATGACCAGTCTCTAGAAATCCTCTATCCTCGGATGATTTTTTGAATGTACTGAAAGAAGTGCCATTATTTGTAAGAAGATATTCCCAACTGGTCGGACCTCTGACATGAGATAACAGTACTCGCCAGTAAAACTTCTCTCCCTCCGAAGGTGATACCGTATAGATTCTCCCGATAACTCTTCTTAGTGACCGTCTGCGATGCCATTCCTTCTCCCTATTATTCCAACAATAATGCTCTGGAATCTCTCTATACAGATAACTTCTTGCTTCTGGATCTCTTAGGTTTAAAGCAAAGAATTGTGTGAGCATTGTTTTGGAATTGCGTTCATTATTTAACAAATCCACAATTCGCTGATGATCATAAAAGCGCACTTGATGGCGGTTCGGCAAGTGGATCTATAATCTTTCAACAGAAGGATATAATCGGTAAAGAGTGAAGCGAAATATTTTCCATAATGCCTCGGGAGCACATAACCATCTTGCATCAACATATTGTTGAACTTCATACATGTATGGTCCTTTGTGAACCTCCATAGCCACACGATCAGGGCCCTTGTACACATATTTGTATAGATACTTGATACTTTTAATGCTACTGCAAATCTCTACATTGATGTGGCAGTCGTACTTTAATAGTAACCAAGGGTTATAAGGAACCACCCATCTATTGTCGACAGACCTGCCTCTACTTAACGATATAGGTTCATCAAACCGTCTTCTATACTCAGGATATGAGTCAGTGCCTTGACGTGTTTCATCCAAGAATTGTTTTGGATATCTTTTTTTACAATGTTCGTCTTTCATACATGGGGACTTCCGGTTTATAACGCCGCAAGGTCCATGGATCATATGTTTTAGAACCGCTTCATGCAACTGTGGCTCACATTCTAGCTTAGGTATTTCTGCTTTTACCACACTATCATACTCTTCTGGGCCACGCAATTTGTCGTTACTTTCTAAGACCAACAACATATGCACATGCGGCAATCCTCGTTTTTGAAATTCAGTAACGTGCATGTAGCTTTTAACCTTTCCTAAGACTCCTTTATTAATAACATCATCCTTTAATTGCTCGAATTTCAAACGAAATATTCTTGTTGGCAAATCTGGACGATCTTGTGGTGTTTGAAAAGGCAAAAGTTCTGATGTTATCTCACTCCAAGAAGGATTGCATGTCATTGTTAGAAAAACATCTGGTTTACCGCCATGAAGAACAATAGCCATGCCATCTTCATAGCGTTGTGTCATGTCTCGACGACCTCCAATAAATGATGATGGCAATATTGTTCTTTTTCCAATGTTTTCTATGGTGATTCATGAAATGTATTAGTTTCAGAATACATGAAAGATTATCATTATAAGTACAACAACTAATTAGTAATCTATAAATATATATTTATGCTACATTATTTAGTACCTTCATTAGTTTCACCGACATGCAAAGCATCCTGTAAACCTTGGTACACTTCAGCACGTATATCACGTTGGTGCTCTCTAATCCACCTTAACCTCCCTGATTCAATTTTGACATAAATGTCTACAACATATTGTTGCAACAGTCGACCCGCATTTAACAACATTGATTGATCATTTGGGCGAATCTACAATTGATTGAAAAATATGTCGGTGTTAAAAGTGATGTGTTTTAAACTACGCTTATCTAAGTATACTATTTACTAAAATTAATCTAAATTTACCTAAAGCATGTAACTGTAATATGCTCGACATGACAATCTTCGTCCATTACAATTTGTTGTGTTAACGTCCCAACCATGTGTCCCAAAAGGAAACAATATAGGATATTGTAGCGGATCATAATATCCCTTTGTCTCTTGAACTTTCTTTAGATTTCCATCACGACGAATGACATTAATATCCGTTCCATATTCCATAGAATCTGAATCTCCTCCAACAATAATTGCCGCAACTTGTTCTGCAGTTGGAAGATTATATTGATGGTGATTACTTGGACGCTCTTTAAGTACGAAGCTACATTCACCGATATTTGGAAGTTGTGACAGTTGTTTGAACCTAATTATAAAAGGATTAAACTGATGGAGCATTTTTTATAATTTTTGAACTACATTTTGGTGGAGTTGTGGATTTTCCTGCATTCTATTATGTAGCTCATTATCTGTGTCGTAGATGTATAGCTGTAAGAAACGCGGTCTGGCACCCTCATTTGGATAGAAACCTCTTATGTTATGGTAAAAAGCACCTTGAGCATGAAATGTATATATACCACGACCAGATGCAAGAATATTCTCATCAACGTGAACACCAATTGAAGTGAATGAGAGCACATGGTTGTAACTTCGAATATGTTGCCTAAAATGCCTTCCTTCTACTGAACCATCCAAAAATAATTGTTGCAATTCTATAGGAGCATTAACTCGTGAAAATGATACCTTTCCACCATTACAACACATATCACGTGATTCATGATGAAACAATTTTGCATTGCAATATCTACAGGAAATTGGATTAGGCAACCGGGATTTTGCCATCATCGAATTATTTTTGAAATTTCGAGCAATATTGTGTCTTGCTCGAAAAGCGCGTCCTGATTCTACAGGAAGGAGTTTGATATTGATTACTAAATATTATTTAAAATCTATAATACAAATAAATAATTAACGCAATATTCCTAGATTAGAAGATTTAGCATTGCATAATTTTCAGTTTTATGACACTTGAGTATAAGCTACATTATTTGGCAGAAAAATGTTTATGAACATACCTTGAGGAAGACATGATGCATCATCATTTATTGCTTTCATGTTAACATCTGATATTACTGCATCCTCCAAAGCTTCATCAACATCCATATCGCCTGATATAAAAATAATAATTAACATATATATATATATATATATATATATATATATATATATATATATATATATATATATATATATATATATATATATATATATATATATATATATATATATATATATATATATATATATATATATATATATATATATATATATATATATATATATATATATATATATATATATATATATATATATATATATATATATATATATATATATATTGAAATTATTGCTCATATATGTAGAACAATATCTTGTATACCTGTAGCAGAGTGACTATTGTTGATACGTTGGTTAGGTGATGTGACATTATGATTTGCGGGTTTAAATACACAAAATGAGAGATGACAAATAAACAATATTATACAAAGTACGATTATAATATATATATTGATCATCACCAACCAAGTGCAACATCATTAACATGTGTAATTCTACTTGGGCCGGCTTCATTATCATGAGTTCCTTGAAAGTGTGACATTGGAGATCTCATATTTGTAAAATTTTGAAATGGAACTCTTTTCCGACTGTTCATAGTGCGAGATGTTTGAGCTTGTTTATCTTTCTCTTTTCGCCGACTATAATTGTCATGTCGCATCGATAAATAATTTTCTCTTTGTTCGAGGTTCATATTTTGTCTCCTCTTCCTCTCATTTTCGGCCCTTCTCACCCTTAGTTGTTGACTTGATATCTGACGGGTATTATTTTCCATTTTGTTAATGTAACTGCCAAACACATAGGCAATTTATAAGCAACATAATTTCACTAATTATGTTGAAAAATATTGGTAAATATAGATGGGATTTAAAATAAATATATTTGTGTTTGGAAAAAAGAAGTTTACACCAAAAAATATTATTTGTAAAACATATGTTAAAAATATAAATTAGACGAAGAAGATATGGACAATCAATAAAAAGAAACATAAATTATGTTGGACAAATAGATGAAAAGATTGCATATTAACTAAACATTAAAATATAAAATGGGGTAAGAAATGAAATTTGTGTAACTTAATTATATGAAAAACTACTACTAAAAAAAATTATATGAAAAACTGAGTTAATTTAAGTTATAGATAAAAGATATATTATTAAAAAATAATGAGAAAAGATAGTGTTATAGTAACTCATATGAAACTTTGAATAGTGAATTATCTCAAAAAATGTCTTAAAAACTTGATGAAAGCCACAGTTTTCAAGTCAAAGATTTATGTTAGCTGGCTTAACCAACGTAAATCTTTGTGTGTTCTCTATCTTTTTCATTAACGTTCTTACACTTACAAATCTGGTTTTGGTAAGTGAAAATATTTGAATAGATATAATCAATCCATTATAAGAAATCTGTTACATGGTATAAAATTTTCAAATTCCAAATTGTTTTTTGCATTAAGATTTTGTTATATATTGGTTCTCTGAACATAGAATGATTGCACTTCATATAATCTTATTTTGCATATAGGTTCAAGAAAATTTTCAATTCCATTATCAATAAAGATAAGGTTCAAAAATTAGTGAAAAGCTCGTAAATCTCAAGTTTAGCCACAGTCCAACAAATATGACTTTTAATCATGAATATTGTTTGATGTATGACTAATTAATGGAATTTGACACCAAAAAACTAAATGCTAACTAACCATTATTTATTTTGCTAAGAGTTCAAATCTAAATCAAATAGAAAATCAAATCATGATAATAGTAAAGAAACACGGTAAATAATATCAAGAAATTGTCTAAGATACTCCAAGATGAAACAAATCCTATGAGATATTCCAAAATGATATCAAGATATTGTAACATAAGTTTGGATCTTCAAAGGCCCCCTCACAAGCTTTAACCTTATTACAAATGTGTCATTTAAAAGAAAGTAAATAAACTATTCAGTTCAATATTTAAAATTGGTTTCTATACAATATATACGGGGAATACTTTGTTTTGGTATGACTTATTTTTCTACCATTTTTACTCTTATTTTATTGTATAATTTACTTAATAACTTCTTATTATTAACTTCCACATAATTTATTATTTTTAACTTCTACATAATTGTTTATTATTAACTTCCACATAATATATTTTTGAAAAAAATTATTTAAAAAAAATATCGTTTATATTTTTATACGCATTAAAAAAAGTAGAAGAAGAAAAAAAAGAAAAATACGTGGGGAGCCACCCAATTTTTCTAAAAGTGTGATAAAACATTAAATTAAAAAAATTAACTAATTCAATTGATAATTAAGATGATTTTATGACTTTTTCAACCAAATATATTTTTATTGATTCAATTATCATTTTAATTAAACCATAAATATATTAAGTATATCAATTAATTCTAATTATTTTAGAACCAAAGATATTAATTATTGATTTGATGAAGAAAGAAGAAAAAGAAACTATTCTTAATTGATTCAATAATGAATAATTGATTAGTAATTTTAATTTATTATCAATAATAATTATAAAAAAATAATAAAAGGTTACAAAATAGAAACAGAAAAAGTAAATTTGGGGAGGTTCCACGTACATATATTTTTTATATTTTATTTATAAAAAAAAAATCAATTAAATATTTTTTTTTACTTTTTCAAAACAAAATAAAAGCTAATGAAAACACAACATGTGTCATTGCAATTACAAACAAAACAAAATAATAAAATCCAAAACTCAGTAACCGTACTTACAACTTCTCTCATTCAATTAGTTTTTGTTTTATGTTAAATTTTGGTTTATGTTTTGTAACAGATGTTCATTCCACTCGCTTCATTCGCTTTATTGGATGTGTTATGACTAATTTTTTTTTACAGAAACTTGGAGTTAATTTGATTTACACTGGATTTTGATTTAAAACATATATGCCTTTTTTTGTTAATAGACTTAAAGCTTATTGGACTATAATTATGATTTATGTTAAATGATAATGATAACTATGAACTAACAATTAGCAGTGAAACCGTATAAACATGGAGTTGTTTATATATTTTTTTGGATAATTAAGAATTAAGAATTAACAATTAGATAGTGATCTATCATACACAATTAGTATAACCACATCTTAAAACTCTCTATTTGTAACCTCCCTGAATGTTACAGACTTTAAGAGGACATTACATGAAGGCTATATCGAACTATATTATGCAATAATAAGAGGTACCTGCAAGTCATCCACTTCCCCAAATGAGATCTCTGAAACATCTATGTGCCCCCCAACTAACTTCTTATTCCCTTGTATAATCCATTTGCCTATATCCATTTGCAAAACATGAATTGTAAAACAGTTAAACAGAAAAGCAAGATAACAAAATAAAGTACATACTCACCTTTCACTTTTAAGGATAATTCATATGTGAAACTGACACGTTTTTCTTGTTCCGAACAACCACCACAAGTGTCTGTAACAAACATATATAATTAAGTGCCTATAACAAAGATGTGATGAATGTTTAATAAATTTATTCAATTATATTTTTAAAAAAATACCTGACAAAAATAATATTAGAATGAGTTTGTTGAGAGTCTTGATCTACACTAATAGAGGTATGCACAGTTTGACAAAGAAAGGGAGTGAGGGATATGATTAATTTGCAAATAGCTTGACAAATTGAGAGAAATAGTTTGTAAATGGCTTAGAGAGACTCCATTTGCATAGAGGAGTTAGTATGAACGTTAATGATAGGAAGGACTATGAAGATAGTGGGAAGTTATTTGTTATAGTTATTATTTAGTATTATTATTAAATAAAATCAAGTGAGAAATTAAGAATTAAGGAAAAGGGTAAATATGGAATAAACATATGAAAGTAAGCATTAATGAAGGGTAATTGTGGAACAAAAATAGGCCACACCAAAAAGGTGTATCCCCTTTATATATAGTTATAGATATTATAAATTGTTCGAGTTCAAGATTTGAAGAGAAGACAACGCCAAACGATGACTTTAGTGGAGAAGTTTGAGAAACTTACCTGTGGATCAAAGAATTGTAATAAAGTAGTTTATTTAATTATTGCATTTTAGGTGGTCATAATCGTATTACTAACTTTTATTTTATGTATGTGATGCGTGAAATGTATGTTTATATGCATGTGTATAAGATACACAATTATGTGAGTGTATGAGATACACAAACCAGTGAGATCAAATTTAATTAAAATTCCTTCAATTAAATATTAAGTCAATTTCTTTTCAAAATTTTAGCACTCGTCAAGACTAGTATCGAATAATGTAGGTTTCGCCTAACGCGAGGTACATGTTTTATATTAGTAAGGCGCGATGGGATAAATGTAATATCCAACTGCTAAATTTTTGGGTTTGACTTAACTAAACTAATTATAATAAGATTATATATGTTTAGAAGTAAGAGTTGAGAACAATCCATAAGATGGATTAGAATAAGGAGTTATTCACTCAATTGATAAAATTCGAGAATTATATTACATACAATTGGAAAGAGTTCCTACCTAAATAACTAAGTTTTATGTAACCTGCCTACATGGACTTAAAACAAAGTAAACCATGGATCTCGATCTTCTAGAAAATCTTTCAACGGAATTTTCTGAATTAAATATTGAAGGTCATTTGGTTTGAGTAAAAA